ATGTATGTATGTATGTATGTATGTATGTATGTATGTATGTATGTATGTATGTATGTATGTATGTATGTATGTATGTATGTATGTATGTATGTATGTATGTATGTATGTATGTATGTATGTATGTATGTATGTATGTATGTATGTATGTATGTATGTATGTATGTATGTATGTATGTATGTATGTATGTATGTATGTATGTATGTATGTATGTATGTATGTATGTATGTATGTATGTATGTATGTATGTATGTATGTATGCATGTATGTATGTATGTATATATATATGTAAATATATATATATATGTATATATATATATATACACATACGAAACGAAATTTTATTTGCTTCTCAAAATTAAAAGAAAGCAGGATGACCATAATAGAATTTATATAAAATTCATCTAGTATGGCCACCTAAACAGAAATGTCCCAAGTTCACACAAATTTTCAGCAAATAATAAAAATTTTCCCTAAATGATCTATGAGAGGCATGTTAGATGTTAGTTGTTAGTAAATTAACAGACTCAACTCTGTTAGCAAAACAGGTGTTAGTTGTTAGTACGATGGTTCATGGTTTATGTATAACAATGTTTGGTATCCATCCAGAAAAACACTGGATAGACATTACATACATATATACAAACAAACATACAAACAAACATACATAATTGTTGCAGATCTGAAGAGAGAGGCAAGCATATGTCACAGTCTGAAGCATCCATATATCCTGGAACTCTTTGAAACGTATAGTAACAATGGAGTTTTCTATATGGTCTTTGAATTGTTAGTTATGTTGTTGTTGTTGTTTGTTATTGTTTGTTGTTGTTGTTTGTTATTGTTTGTTGTGTTGTTGCGTTGTTTTTGTTTTCAATTTTGTTTCTATTATGGTCGTCATCACGTAGTTGCTGTTGTTACTGTTGTTGTTGATGTTAGTGTTGTTGTTGTTGTAATCGTTGATATTGTTTTTAGTAATAATGTTAATGTTGTTGCTGGCATTGTTGAAGTTTATGGCGGGACTAGTTGAGTTCGAATGATTGAGAGTATTGTTGATACAGTTAATGTTATTGTTGTTATATATATCTGCAGTTTTGTTGTTGATGTTATTATGATTGCTTACATAATTGTTGAATTCATTGAAATTGTTGCTGCTGTTGCTGTTGTTGTTAACGTTGTTGTTGTTGTTGTAACTCATA